AAAAAAAAGCACCCCACAAAATATTGTGAGCTAAGAAGACAATAAAAAAGACAGATTCAGTAACACAACAAAGAATCAAAGGTAGGCATGACATACCTGCATCACCGGTCCATCTTCACCGTACTACCAAATCTACAGCACTTCAATCGTGCGGTAAAGGAAGGTACTGCAGGGGCGACCTGAGAACACATCGAGCACAATACACTGGCAATGCAGAACATTGTGTTAGTGTGAGGGTGCACGCATGTGATCCCAGTTCGCTCCTGCGGAACCCCTCTACCTCTTTAGCATTAGCATAATAGCTAGCCACACAACTTGGTATCCATGTCTTGCTTGTGAACATATTATATAGAACAACTTAATTGAGTACTTCACTCCATTGTACTACATAAATGGTACGAACTGGAAATTAGAATTTCTAGTACAAATCTTCTTTACTTAACCATATGTTTTTCTTTAGAAGAAACTATGTTTGACATAAATTGTACTACAATGTGGTACAGCTTGATTTTTTTTCAAAGCTGCTTTGTACTCTTCAATTGCAAGTCTGTCGTACAGTAGCTCTCTCTAATTGGATTAAGTTTTGTGGTACAATACTTTGCACATATTCTTCAAAATGCAATTAAGCCCTGGAGAATTGACTTTTTTTATTTTTTATTTTTTGCCAACCAAATATTCTGAATTATTCTAACCTATAGGAGGGGGATCGAATTTGAGTACAACATGACGTACACACTACCTTAACTAACTAGCTTAGGCCATCTCTAAATGAGGGTTAGGCCATCTCCAGTTATAGGGATAAATGTAGTCCAAGGCTAAATATTTAGCCCTCCAAAATAATAATTTTTTAAAGAATAATGCAGGGCTAAATTTTTCCATCTCCAGCCATGCAGGGCTATATTTTTTTTAGGGTCATTCATATTTTATTATTTTGAGAAAAACTATGGTACAACACTCATACATTCCACAACTATGTATTGTTTAATTTAATTAAACTACTATTTAGAGACAATATTTCATGATCAAGAATTTTTTAATATTTTTTTCAAACAACACTTGAAAACATTTAAAAAGGTGACCACATATATAAATAAATAAATAAAAAGGATGGGTTTCAATGGTCTGACCTCCAACGGTCATGACCAGTAATATTTTATAATTTTTTTACGAATTGAAAACATTTAAAAAGGTGACCACATTTAAAAATAAATAAATAAATGGTTGGGTTTCAATGGTCTGACCTCCAACGGTCATGACCAATAATTTTTTTATAAATTTTTCTTAAACAACACGAATTGAAAACATTTAAAAAGGCTTTTAAAAATATATTGATGACGTCAACACTTTTATTGTTGGCTATTGGATATGCATTTGCACGAGATGATTTGTGCTCTTATCCACACTTGATAATTTATCTTCTTAAAAAGCACATGTATGGGGCTCAAAAAATTTGGTCTAAACCAAAGCTGGGCTAAATGTGGCTCGGTTGGAGGGCTAAAGAGCCAAATGCGGCCCTCCAAATTTGGCAAAAATTTTGTTTAGCCCATGGTTGGAAATGGATTTTGCATTATTTTAGAGCTATATTTGGGATATAGCCCATGGTTAGAGATGGCCTTATATCCTCAAATATGGCCCAAAATCCCCAAAACTTATCTCCAAGAGTGGGCTACACAAACTGCTACAAAAAAAGGGAGGGCTACATAAAGGGCCAATTCCTAAAATGAGGCATGTGGCCCTTTGGCCAGCCCGAGCTAAATGATTGGATGATGCCCAGCTGACATCACCTAGTTGTTATGTGACGTCAAGTAGGTTTTTTTTTTTAAATCCGAAAAAATGATTTTTTTTAATATATTTAAATTCTATAAAATTCCTAACTCTTTTGTATAAATACCTACCTCATTCTTACATAATTTCTCACAACATCTTCATCATTTTATATATTATCCATCTTCAATTTCATCCTTTTACATAATTTCTCACAATCTCTTCTTTCTTTTACAAATTATCCTTCATCTTTTTTCATTTAAATTAATTTTTAAGTTTTTTTTAGAACAAGAAAAAATCTAATCATAAATTTATAGGGCTAATCACGTGCCAACAGGTGGATATAAAAAATCATATCCCAAAATATTTTTCTCTTTTAAAATGTATTTTAAATATGATATAAATAGTAGTTTAATTAAATTAACTAATAAATTTACATAATATACTAAAAATTATTAAAATATTAAATTTAGCCCTTTACTGCTAAAAACGATTAAAATGTAGCCTAAACTGACACTATTTCTTATAAAATTATTTTTTAAGGAGCTAAATGTAGGAGTTAAATATAGCCCTCCCCACCTAGAGCCTTAACCCACATATCCTGATTATTGTGTTTCTTCACCCATACAATCTTTATTGCTTTAAACCAAAATAAAAAATATAAATAAAAAAACTAATAACCCAAGATAAAACCATGTAGAAACCAACATGTGGGAAAATTCCTTGGGGTGACATTGTTAAGAATTCTTTTTCTAAGTGACAAAATTGCACGTAGACAACCATTCCTCTCTCGCGGTACGAACAAATAGCTTCGGTGCTTTTGTTATTTATTTGCTGGTTAGAATTTGCGAGTTCTGTAATCTCATTTGTTCTCCTAGAAATTAAATTTGGGTTTGAGAAGTAAGTGATTGAATTTAGACTCTGGGTTTTGGGTTTAAGCTAAAAGAAGCGATTTTATGTGTTACCCTTTGATTTCTTCTTCTTCTTCTCTCCGTCTCCAAATAGAAGCGACTGTGCAGTTCTTGTATGTGTTACCGCTTATAAATTTTTATTTGGGAAAGTTATGTATGCAAATGAAAATGGTCCTGTTTTTCAAATTCATTTGTTTTTGTATTTGGGAAAACTGTGTATGCCATGAACTGATGCTTGGAACAAATTCATTTGCTTTTGTATTTCATAGGGCGGCTGTGGCAAAATGGGGGAAGGGGGAAATGCAGTTCAAGATTCAGCAGTCCAAACGACATCGTTGGAGAACATTGAGGCCTTGCTGGAGGTAACCCAACTCCCTTTTCCAAAAGTTAATCCTCTTTTCGAAAGTACCCTCTTGTATTGAATGAAAGGATTCAACATATGTGATAAATTGTGTTTTGTACAATGAGATGTTTATTTGAAATTCATATCCTGCTTTCATGAAATAAATTGTAGTTGGAGATGATCTTTTTGTGTTTGGCAGGCTGCTAGATATGATGACATGGATGATACTGTAAGCTTAGCATCTGCTGGTGTTTCTCTCGATTCTAAGGATTCTCAGGGCCGAACAGGTTATAATTTTCGTTGTTTTATAAAGAGTGCTGCTATTTCCACCCACCTGTCTTATTTTTCCACCCACCTTATCTTCCATCCCCGTTTTACAGTTTTTTTTTTTTGTTATATAAATTTGACATGTGCTAAAAGTGGTAGATATTTTTCTTGTGGCTCATGGTTTTCTCCTCTCTTATTAAAATGTGAAATTTTTTATTACTTGTTAAGGAATTTATTTGGATTATTAAAGCAATTATAGATTACGCATGAGATGACACTTTGTTGTACCAAGTTGTTCTCTCAACATGCAGAGGTTTTATTTGTTTGCTGCTTTCCTGTGCATAATCACTTGTGAATTTGTTGAAACTTGGACAGCATCTCCTCAACCTCTTATAGTAGTTGGTCTCAATAACGTAGATACCAGGACAACCAGAGCAATAATTTTTCATGAATTTGCTTATTGAAAATCTGAAAGATATTTATTTGGTTGTCAAATTTGAAATTCAGTAGGTAAGGTTCACTTCTATGTGGTCTCAGAGGTTGATGATATTGATATTTGATCTGTGAAGCTTGTGAACGAAAGTAGAGAGGTTGAGGAGATGCAAGGGTGATTTTGGAAGGATAGAGATCTGAAAACCTAATTCTTCTTGGAAGTGAGGAATTAGGTTTTCATTTCCTTGAGAAATAGTTAGGTGTCAGGATAATGCATCGAAGCTGTTAGTTATTTCATTAATTCAGTTTAATATTGACAAATCATTTCGACCTCCTTAAAGTGTTTAAATTGGCATACCTTGTATTGCTCCAACTTATGATAGCGTCCCATTTCCAAACTATTTTCAACAATTACTAAATCATGCTGTTAGTAGTAATGGGAAGGTCAGTCAAATGGGGGTGACATACATTTGAGGATGGTGAGGAGTGGATTTGTGGGAGAGGGTTCATTCCCGGGCATCTCCTTTGGGCCATCGGTGTAATCAGAGTTTAAGGAGAGCTATCTTCTGTATTTTTTTTCCAGATTGGAATGCTATTGTTTCTGGATAATGCATTGAAGCTGTTAGTTATTTCATTAATTCAGTTTAATATTGACAAATCATTTTGACCTCCTTAAAGTGTTTAAATTGGCATACCTTGTATTGCTCCAACTTATGATAGCATCCCATTTCCAAACTATTTTCAACAATTACTAAATCATGCTGTTAGTAGTAATGGGAAGGTCAGTCAAATGGGGGTGACATACATTTGAGGATGGTGAGGAGTGGATTTGTGGGAGAGGGTTCATTCCCGGGCATCTCCTTTGGGCCATCGGTGTAATCAGAGTTTAAGGAGAGCTATCTTCTGTATTTTTTTTCCAGATTGGAATGCTATTGTTTCTTATAGCCCTTTGTTGATTTCTTGGGTAAATTTTGGAGTGTCTTCAGTGTAGGTAGATGTTGCTTTTGGGTTTCTTTTTCTCCTTTAGAGTGTCAACAAGATGTCCTCTGTATTGTGTAATTTTCTTTTAATAAAGTCTTGTCCCTTTGCTCTCTCTCTCTCTCTCTCTCTCTCTCTCTCAAAATTTCAAAAGACAAGACATATGCAACAAGGTAATGAGTATGACTACTGTAATGCCTCTTGAACAATCGATTCCAGATTCTGAGGACAACTCATAAAGGTTGAGATTTTCTCTTCAGAGTATTTGGATGGGAGAGTTTGATTGGGTTTGGGGTAAAGATGTTGTTTTGATTGTTCAAATCCTATCTTTTTTAGACAGAAAAAAATTCTTCCTATCTTTAAAATTTAATCATTTTGAAATTCCTTGTGACTTTTAGATTTCCTCATTATCCCTATTGTAGAGCGAATGCATTTCAAATGGACTATTGAAGAGAATTTAAAGTGTTTTTGATCCCATGAAAAGTTTAGTCAATATTGTTGATATGAAGGAACAGAATCCTGTGTTGGTTGCTTGGATGGGCAATACGTTTGGATGCTGCTCTGCAAGGTTTCACTAAAATACACCTGGAATATCAACCTCTGGGGTTCTAGTGAAATGATGCTTCTTCGCATGGTTTTGCTTGAAAATATCGTGTTTTAGTTAAATATTACGTGAAATTGGATTCGCAAAGGGATAGATCCAGCTAGAATAGAAGGGCGGCATTGTAAGGCAACTTGCTGGTGCAATGCCACATTTGGCATAGGATGTGGCCTTCAGTTGCCTCTTCTTTATTTATCTTTACAGATCCCAGCATGTTTGGTTCCTCATCATTTCTTCCCCTGTTTCATCGGCATTTCAACTAGCATTTGACATTGCATATTCAGTTTTAGTTTTTTTTGGAAGAGTGGCATACTTTTGGGTTCAGCTGAAATTTTATAAATTGGGGGTTAAACCTGAACATTTGTTTTTTGACATTTGGCAATAAAAGTAACTCGCAGTCCTAGATCAAGACTAGGTTTAACTTTGTTACATATAAAACAAACTTAGCTTAAGGATCCCAACCCAACCAAAAAAAGGTCTGAGGCGTGATCATTAGTGATGCCATCCCAATAAATAAGCCTATGCAAAGTGCTGTATGAATGGGATGGGAAAAAGTGCCAAAAAGAAGGGGAGAAGGATTGCATCCAAGCAAACCACCCTGACCCTCACCCCACGTCCCCAACCCCCAACTGCTTAATTTCGCTTTCTAGCTCCCATTAATAATTAAATTCTAATTAATTAATTAATTAATTTTTGAAATACTTTATGTATATATCATGGGCTGAGCTACTTTTGTAGTGTGTAACTGATAAACTATTTTTTTCACCAAGTT